CAATTGTAGACACTTTGTACATTCGACACTTGGTCCGTTCGACACAATGCTCGACATTTTGTCCATTCATCATCTTGTCTTTCGTCACTTTGTTCTTCCACATTCTCTCTGTGCACGTTCAGGACAGTCATGTCAGTTGTCCTATTCACGTGATCCAAAGTATGGGGTATAGAAAGACACCTGATACCGAAAATAAAATATTCAGAAGTTATTAACTACAAAGGTAGATTTAAGTGTGGTTATTGATGTAATAGTCAATTCCCTGTACCGCTCCAGTAAGTACCTGACTCTTCCCGTTATCCTCTACGTTTAAAACAGCTAGATGAGGCCAAAAATAGAGTACAGCTGGCATATATAGGCAGAACCTTCCAAGTCCCCACTTTTCTGTCTCAATAGTCCAAATGTGTTTACGCGGTCCAGTAGGTGATGAATTGTTCTCCCTTTTACAACTCCTTTTCCACCTGCCAGGCCACACACATTGTTGCGAAAAATATTAACTCCCTTCGTACACCATCAGCAAGATGCAAGTTCTACTCGAAACATTTATTGCACATTCTAATATGACCCTAGAACTTAAAAAAAATCCCCCAAAAACATGGGTACGAATCACATAATTCTGAATTCGTTCCGAAAATCGCAGTTTTTAAAATGGCGGAAAATCAGGCACTCCAAAATATAATCTATAGCCTTGGATGGCAACTGGTCTACTGCAGAGAGAAATGGCAAACTACTACCAAAAAATCTGCCTCGTCAGTCATGTATCGAAAGATACATGATCGCCTACACGTGTATCACGCATGGCACATGACTGAGTTTAATCGCTATTTCCCCTGCTTTTCTTGCCTTCAATACTATTACCAGCTATACGTTTTTGAAAAAATATCAACAGCTAACCACGACACACAGACAAAATATATATTAAATAAAAATGAAAACATTATACAGTCCTTCAGTCATGTATATAATCAAAATAGCTAACACAATAAGCAAATGACTGGCATATCAATATATTTGCAAGCAAGGATCTTATAACCATCTGTTGGGACGTATTTCTTAATGTAACAAAGCAAAAATGGCACATCGTAGCGAGATTTATGTTAGGACAATACACTTATAATACCTTAATTTAAAGAATAAATCAAGCTGAAGTTCAGTTTTTAACTTAATAGTATGGGAGATCTTTATTAACCCTAACTTCAATAATAATCCAGTAGTTCTAACAACACAAATAGGGGCTACCTAATTAGATTTTTAAATAATTTTTGTATATTCTTTCGACGTTCCTTAGGTTGCGACACCTATTAGAGTAATATTTTTTTATTGATATAAAAGTGGGGGTCCTGTTTATAATATCGAAACAGTATCAATTTGGTCCCTAATTTTTACACAGTTACTCCACTTACGCTGTGTCACTAATTGACAAATGTCAAGTTTGAAATAGTGCTACAATCATTGATCTCTGGATATTTCTTAATTTTCTGAATTTTAAAATCTTTTTATAAACATTTTTTTTTAAATATTTTTTTGCATAGGATTTTTTTCGGGAGCACAAGCACAAACATACTTTTATTAATCTATGGCAACTGTTCGTATTAAATTACGAATGCGTACATACTTTAGTCCATTATTTAAAAGAGATCTTTTTAATCACACGGAAAATGTCTGTTTTAGTGCGTAAAACAGTTAATTTCATTAACCCTGTAAAAGTCAGAGATCGATCTGACACTGTAGCGATATTATAAATCGAAACTTTCGTATAAATTGATTAAAAAACCCCAATAGTTTTCGATTCTGAAAAGTGTTGTGGCCTGAGGAAGCAAAAGAAGCCTAATGTGTAAAAAAATCATTTTTTCCAAAATGATTTTCTCTATTTCAGGCGAATGGATCAGTCTATTTTAGTAGTTCCTACAAATATATCAAACAATCCCCCTAGAATGAATCAAATCGAAGCTAGAATCGTTCTTTTATAATTGAATTGCTGGAAACATAGTCAGCAACCTCATCAATAAGAAAATTGATTTTCGCGGAAGTCAAATCAGATTAAATTTTCGAGAAATATAGTTGTAAAAATAATAGTGGATGTGCAGGTGGTGTAATGGATATCGACTCAGAATGAGAAATCAGAGAGACGATTTCGGATTCAAGTCAAGTTCGTTGTATTCACTTACGCGCAAATACGAGGTTTGATAAAAAAGTATGTTGCTATAAAAAAAGAAAAATTACAACACATATCAATTCGGCATTTTAATTTCCTTCGGTGTAGTCCCCTTCTGACGCCATACACTTTATCCAGTTATCATTTGAATTGATAGAAGAATTGCTGGAACTGCTTTTTGAGATGGCGAGCAGCTGCCTTGTAGCGTTCACTTGGATTTCCTTGACGTCTTGAAATCTCGTTCCGTTCAAGCGGAATTTTATTTCTGAAGAGAAAAAAAACTGCCAAGGGGCGAGATTTGGGGAATATGGTGTTTATCGGAATATGGTGTTTTAGGAAATGTTTTTTTCTTAGCTGCACAAGCCATGACAACTGATGTGATGTGAGGAGACGATCACACTCTACATACTTTCCCTCCAAACACTACTATAAAACATGAACGAGAACGTGGCTTCACTCCATTGATAAGGCCCATTTTCTTCTGCTGATTTACCATAGCAACAGTCCCAATAATACATTATTTACATTATTCGGACTATTGTCCTCATCTTTGTCGCCATATTTATTACAGCGTTTCGGCCGTTGTACGCTCCGGCTTTCTTTAGGTGGTTTGAACTGAACTGGGGCAGACTGTTCTAGTTCCACGTGCCATGTTTAATGGATGTCAGTTATCTAGTTATCTCCTGTTAATTCCCCTCTTAATGCCTTAATCGGGTATTGAACTCACACTCTTTGGGTCCTGTCACTGGATCTAACCAACGCCTTTATTCACTGTGCCATCTATGGGCAAATAGTTACTGTGCCATCTGTCCTTGAGGACATCTGTGTATGAATTTCTGGGTAATTTAAATCTGATGTCTTCAGCAACCATTTTTACCAGTGTTCATATTACAATTTTTGCTGTTATCATTTCATGTTTTTACCAGAGCTCATATTGCAATTTTTGTTGTTATTATCGCTTTTCTCTGGCACTCCTTATTACTGGTTCCCATATTGTATTCATTTCTATGCTTGGTCGGCTTAGGAGATTTTTGTGGCCTAGCATGCAATGATAACAGCAAAAATTGCAATATGAGCACTGGTAAAAAAATACCGAGAAATTCATACACAGATGTCCTCAAGGCACATAGCACAGTGGATAAAGGGCGTTAGTTAGATCCAGTGACAGTGTGAGTTCAATACCCGGTTAAGGCAGTGGCGAACTTGGAGAGGGAAATTAACAGGAGATAACTGACATTTTTTTAAGCATGGCACATGGAACTAGAACAGTGAGCGAAATAAAGGGTTCAGTTCGACGTTCCAACCACCTGAAGAAGGCCGGAGCGTACAACGGTAGAAACGTTGTAATAAATATGGCGACAAAGATGAGGACAATAGTCCGAATAATGTAAATAATGTACATAATACCTCATCTCAGAAAAATAGACAGTCCTTATAATTTTTGATCAGACCTCATACCTTTGGGAAAGGTGTGATTTTATCTATTTTTCCTCTATTTATGAGCTAATCAGCAGGAGAGAATGGGCCTTATCAAGTAATCTTGGAAAAGGCTAAATCCGAATTCAAATCCTTAGCGACCAAATCTCGGCTTTGACGTTTGGAAGGCACCCGAAAGCCAGAGTTACGGTGAAGTCATCGGCTGAAGGATGTTGGATTTGATCAATGAGAGATCTAACAGGCCAGATTTGTGTCATTGAATTGCAATAGTGTCATGGAAAATATTCTTCCCACTGGACAATGGAGGAGACCTAATTATTCCGAGTCAAATTGTGGAAACACTGAGTTCCCTAATATATGCACGACCGAATCCCATCCGATGACACACTAAAAGCACTAAAAGATTAAAGAGCGTGTGGATGCTAGGGACGACGTTTAAGAAAAGAAAGAAGGTCAAACATTGGCACAAGAGCACATTAGTATTAGAGTTGGACAGAATCGAACCTGCAAAGTAATAACTTTCGCTACAAGATCGTTATCAATCTTCGTCATTTAGTGCGGAGAAATATCATCATATCTCCTCTTTATCCCCGTCTCTTCTTCGCTTTCCTTCTCTCTCTTTCTCCCCATACTTATTTTTCTTTCTTTCTTTCTTTTCTTTCTTTCTTTCTTTCTTTCTTTCTTTTTTCTTTCTCTCCGTTCCGGAAAATACACTAAGAAAGGGCAGGAGTAAACACAATCAGAGAGAATTTAAAACATTCATAATTTACTGACGACCAATGATCCTATTAACAACAGACAACGCAAATGGAATTAAAACAACATCTAACCGTAGCATGGAAAATATTTAACAAGAATAGAAATATAATAAAAGGCACCTTGCCAATATTGTTTAGGTTGGAATATTAAGACATATTAACACGTTTAGTATGGTTTAGTTTGTTTTACGGCTTATCAACCTCAATGGGTTATTTAATGTCGATAAGATTTTTATTGCTGGTAGTAGTTTTTTTTTCCCCAGAATGTATTGCTGGTAATATATTTTTTCCCTAAAAATCTATTGCTGTTATTAAAACGTACTTTCATAGTGTTTTGACCCCTTTTGTGGGGAGTTAACTATTTGCCCATAGCTGGGACCCGGTTAGATGCTACCACCCCGAATCAGGGTGAACTTGGGAACACCAGCAATTAAGAGGTAGCCCTACGATTTTCAGAACCTCCTGATCAGAGGTTTGTTGTTGGATGTAGAGAGAATGAAAGAGGAAGGGAGTGGGAAAATGGATGAAGAAAAAACAGAATGAATAAGTGAAGAGGAAAATGAAAGAAAACAGAGAAAATTAGGTAGAGAAACCTAATAAAGTAAAGAAGGAATGATAAAAAAAGGGGAAGGGGTAGAAAACGAGAGGTACTATGTAACAATGAAAGAGTATGAGGGAAAGAGAGAGAGAGAGAGAGAGAGAGAGAGATCAATAAAGGGAGGAAAGAGTGTGGAATGTGGGACAAAAATAGACTGATTGGGAAGATGAGTAATCAGAGAGAGAGAGAAAGAGAGAGAGAAAGAGAGAGAGAAAGAGAGAGAGAGAGAGAGAGAGCAACAATGAAAAAGCGGAAGAGAGAGAGAGAGAGAGAGAGAGGAAGAAAAGAAGCAAGGGAAGGAGAGAGAGGTATAAAGAACGAAAAGTAAGGTAAATGAGAGTAATGAAAAAATAAAAGAAACAAAAAAGGAAAAATAAAGGAAAACTGAAAGAAAAAAGAAAAATGAACGAAAAAAAATAATAGACAGAAAGAAAGAAAAAAATGAAGAATGTCAAGAAACAGAAAGAAAGAAATGAAAGAAAAGAAAAGAAAAGAAAAGAAAGAAAACAGAAGGAAAGAAAAAGAAAGAAAGAAAAAAATGAAGAAAGAAAAAAGAAAAAAAAGAAAGGAGTCAAAGAATAAAAAATACAAAGAAAGAAAAGAAGAAAATAGAAAGGAACAAAGAAAAAGAAAGTAAGAAAGAAAAAATCAACAAAAAAAAGAACGAAAAAATTCAAAGAAAGGAAAGAGTAAGAAGATTGAAAGAAAAGAAAAGAAAAGAAAAGAAAAAGAAAAGAGAAAATAAACAGAAACAAAAATAAATAAATAAGAAATGAAGAAGAAAATAAAAAGAAAGAAAAAAGAAAATAAAAAGAAAAGAAAGAAAGTGAACGAGAATCGAGGAGAAATATTAAAACTATTATTTATCTTCCAAAGTTATAGGAAGCCAATTAAACGAGAAGGACATTCAAAATTCACAGCAAATTTCCTTTTATTAGCTGACATCGTTTTAAATTGAAAGTCTTCCGGCCCAAATCTTGTTTCATCCTCTTTTTCACGGTTCTTTTTTGAATTATAATTAAACTACTGTCTCCTTCAGTTGTGCTGCCACCGATGTTTTATATTTTAACTGATCTGCTAATGTCTGCCAAATAAAATCGCCGAGTTTTACATTTGATTAAACAACTGACAGCCAAATGAATTCAAAGTGTTGGCAAAAAGATTTTGAATAAGAAAACAATTCCATCATGATTGATTCATAAATCCAGTCGACACAGAGTTATAAAACTCAAGTCACTATAAGGATCTTGCTAAACATCGCCCCATGGCAATGAAATGAAGAGAACTCGGGTCTTTTCCTTCCTCGGGGAACATGTAAGTTTAGCGTTTGACTTAATAAGCCAGATTAGTTTGGTTTGGTTTGTTTTACGGCATATCAACCTGAATAGGTTATTTAATGCCGACAAAATTTTTATTGCTGATAATATTTTTTTCCAAAAATATTTTGCTAGTAATATTTTTTTCTTTCGTAAAGTATTGCTAGTAATATTTTTTTCCAAAAAAGTATTACTGGTACTAAATGTATTACTGGTAATAGTTTTTTTCTTCAAAAAAATTTATTGCTGGTAATGTTTTTTATATAAAGTATTTCTGCTATTAAAACATATTTTTACACTTTCGTAGTGTCTCCAGTTTGGGGTTTAACTATTTGCCCATAGCTGGGACCCTAACAGAAGCTACCATCCCGGGTTAGGGTGGACCTGGGAACAGCAGCAATTAAGAGGTGGTTCGACGCTCCTCAAAACCTCCTGATCAGAAGCCCTGCTGCTGGACGTAATTTATCGTCTTACTCAGGGCGTGGATGTAGTTTATCGTTATACCCAGGATTAAATAAGCGAGAGTACAACACTGCAGTTTATTTGGCTTCAGTTCATTGAGTATCTTGTTGGTGGAGTATAGAATATACCAACTGCATTCCCTGCAACGGAGTAAATGCACCTACAAAAGGCACCAGTTTCGGAGAGAATACTGGAGGATTAAAGTATAAAAATAACTAATGTTTACATATAGACTCAAGTAAAGGGTGTTCCAATAACTTTGGCCGATTTTAAATGTGAATTAAGTTTAAGCGACTAATGATGTTTTTCTTTCAGATTTAACAACTTATGTCTTTGGCAATTTCAACCATGTAAAGATTAACAATAATACAACGTGTTAAAGATATCGAAGCTTATTTCGAAAATAGACTTTCAAATAGAAATGCAATGAGAAGTTCGCAGGTCGTATCATCACTTGAAACAGCGACGTCAATTGGCCACCACGGTCGTGCAACTTGACGCCTTTAGATCTCTTCCTTTGGGGTCATCTCAAAAGTAAGGTCTATGCCAACAACAATTCAACAGTTGAAGGATGAGATAATTAGGCATATTGGTGAGATCGAGGAGCAACTATGCAGAGATGTCATAAAAAATTTTGAGTATCGAGTGGAGGTGTGCCGCCGAAGCCTTGGCGGACATTTGGGCGATATTATTTTTCACACGTAATTGCCATGATTTAAATAACATAATCCAATGGAGAAATAAATAAATTTTCACCAATATCACTGATTTATTTAATGCTGACTTTGATCCGTCTTAATGAAACACCTTTTATAAAGCCGACCAGTATTTCCTTATAGACAAGAGTATACAAAAAATCAATGTTTACCTATAGCCTTAGGTATAATCATGACTAATGTTTACCTTTAGACTCAAGTATAAAAGCAAAGAATATTTACCTATAGACTCAAGTATAAAGCAACTATTGTTTTCTTATACACGCAAATATTTAAACATTGTTTTTAGTGGATACTCGTATTTGAGTAGACGCTCCGTTTATCTTATTAAGCAGTATTGTTATCAGATCTAATGACGGTTTCTCCTAGGGGAACGCAAGTTTTAATCTTCTGGAGAGCACATATTTTTAGCTAATAATATTTCTCAAATATTCAGGCTGGCAGACGAAAATAAATAAATAACTATTTAATAAATAAACAGAATGCCTATGCAAATACCAGTATCCACTAAAAATAACGTTTTAGTAAAAAAATCAGTCGGATTAATAAATAAAAAATCCATCCCCTTTCTTTACAAAAAAACTCGACTATAAAAACGACCAATGTTTACCTATAGACTCAAGTATAAAAATGGCCAATGTTTACCTATAGACTCAAGTATAAAAATGGCTAATATTTACTTATAGACTCAAGTATAAAAATAGCCAATGTTTACCTATAGACTCAAGTATAAAAATAGCCAATGTTTACCTATAGACTCAAGTATAAAAATGGCTAATGTCTTCCTAGACACACTAGTATAAAAATGACAAATATCTGCTTATAAATTTAAGTACCAAAATGACCAATGTTGATTTATAGACTCACGTATCAGAGTTACCAATGTTTACCTTTAGACTCAAGTATGAAAAAGATCAATATTTACCAACTGTCTAAAGTATGATAATGATCAATTTTTACCTATAGATTCAAGTATCAAATGATCAATACTTACCTATAGACTCAAGTATGAAAATCACCAATGTTTACTTATAGTCTCAAGTATTTAAATGACCGATATTTACCAATAGACACAAGTATGAAAGCGACCAATATTTGCCTATAGACTCAAGTATGAAAGTGATCAATGATTACCTATAGACTCAAGTATAAAATGGCCAATGTCTACCTACAGACACAAATATAAAAATGACCAATGCTTACCTATAGACTCAAGTATCAAAATAATCAATGCTTACCTATAGATTCAAGTATGAAAATGACCAATGTTGACTTATAGATTCAAGTATGAAAATAACGAATGTTTACTTATAGATTCAAGTATCAAAAGGATCAATGCTTACCTATAGACTCAAGTATCAAAATGACCAATGTTGATTTACAGACTCAAGTATGAAAACGATCAATATTGGCTATGGACTTAAGAATGAAAATGATCAATGTTTACCTATAGACTCAAGTATCAAAATGACCAGTGCTTACATATACACTCAAGTATGAAAATGACCAATGTTTACCTATAGACTCAAGTATCAAAATTATAAATGCTTATCTATAGCCTCAAGTATCAAAATGACCAATGTTTATTTATAGACTCAAGTATGAAAGCAACCAATCTTTACCTGTAGACTGAAGTATATATCACCAATGTTTTACCTACAGACGCAAGTTTTCAATCCATCTGTAATGATTGATTAAAAATGGTTGGTTCCTTTTTACCTTTCCAATGAGTACCTGACTCTTTTTGTCATGAACTTTCTTTACAAGAGTTAGATCAAACCAAAAATTAAGTATTACTCTGCTGTGGTGTCCTCCCTCTAATGATTCTATTGTAGACTCTTCCATTTACTATAAAAGTAAGCCTCGAGGTAACAGTGATGTAGACTGAACGCTGGTCAGCCGACACACACTCCCAAGTCGTGTAATACTCTTCTGTTCAATAAACAATTTATCTGCAACCACTTGTCTTGTTATTCCTAGAAGAATTACTGGACCGCGTACACAGGATCAAATAATCCTCATTCCCTTCAATGTTACGAAGGATGTTTCAATTAGCCAGCTTTCCCCCCTCCAAGAACTGTTACTTACAGACCACTGAAAGGGTGTTTTTTCGACCGCTACAATCTTAAACTCTTCAAGTCTATAGTCAATCGTTATATATCCTGGCAATCGGTGCTTTATTTTTTTACCGCGATAAAAAATCACAAGTTAATAACCCCTTAACTAGATTGACTCTTGAGTCTTGTATTAGATGGACGTTTTAGAAAAAAAAAAAGCTCAAGTACAAACATGATCTATAGACTAAAAGATAAGCATAAGCAATGTTTACTTATAAACTCAAGTATACACATGTATGCCTATAGTCTCAAGTATGAACTTGACCAATTTTTAACTATAAAGGTTAATATGGCATAAAACCACTAACGCAACCCAACCTAATTCTGTTCATTAAATTGTTGAAATTTGTGTATATGTTGCCCAATCTCAAGTGATAAAGATATTATTATTTTATTTCCTCTGATTTCTGATGTATATTCATTTCTTTCCGGGTCCCAACCAGAGACCTAAGGCCAGAAATGGCACCATGACATTTTCCCCTGAGCGTTTTTTGAGGAAAAAAAGTAAACAAAAAACACCTAAGATCACACACTTTTTACATAGATAAAGTCCTTCGTACGACACGGACTCTACTTGTGAGTACAATGTTTGTTTTTCTTTAAGGCTTGGGCTACTAAGAATTCCTTCAATGAGTCTATCGAAAACTTTTCCAATCAATCCAAGGGCTTTAACTACAATTGGAATTGTTGATGGCCTCATGTGCCACATTTTTGAGATTTCGATTTCAAAATCCTGATATTTTGATCATCAAAGATACATTACAGTCTGCAGAAACTACCATGTCAATAAGAAGGCATATTTTATTTTTGCGGTCTCTAATCACGATGTCTGGGCGATTAGCTTCGATTGTTCTGTCTCTATGTATTGTAAAGTCCTATAAGTTTACGGTCCTATTTCTGTAACCGGGTCTGGGTGGTGTTCATACCAACTTGTTGCAATCTCCTTTTCGTAAAAGTTGCAGATTTTCCAATGCATTGGCTCACTCTGTCATGTCGAGTTTTAAATTCACTGGATGCCAATACCTTGCAACCTGATGCAAGATGGTCAAATGTTACTGGATATTTATCACAGAATTTTGGGATAACATAATTTTTTTCAATACGTTTGCTTGGTAATTTGTAGTTAGAAAGCAGAAAATAAATCTTTCCGTTTCAGCTTCACTACGTAGCCACTAATGGGTTCAGGATTTGTCTGCATCAGCTTGTCAGGTACGGGTAGAATATTGATTATGTAGAGATTTATCTTGTCATCATTTCCGTATCCGTCCATTGCATTTGCCTTTGCTTTCTTTTTTAAACTTTTTGCCGCTGCAGTAGATGTATTATGTTTTACTTGCATTTCTTCGCCTACTTGAAATTCTATTTTTTATTGCTGAATACAGTTTCTTACTTCTTTCATGTTCTTTGACATAGATCATCATCCAGTCTTCTGTAGTTTCTAGGTATCTTTGAATGCCGATTGTTGTAGCTTTCTAGTTGAACTAATCCTCTGCCTCCTTCGGATCTGGTCACAAACAGACGATCAGCAACAATCTTGGGATTACGCATATGATGAAAGTGAGGTCTCTCGTTTTGGCGTCCATTCGCTTAATGTCACCTATGGCCTAGTAAAGGATGTTGAAACTGTATCCCCCCCCCACAGGGACAGCCAACGTGTTAAAGGCTGATATTTTGTTTTATGAATTCAACTCGCTATTCAATAC